GAAGGATACTGAGAGCTGCAGCAGACAAGAACTGGATTCCAGGAAACTCAATTCAGCAGAAGAACAAGGCTCTTGCATGAGCAGAGCCGGATACAGTCAAATCCACACAGACACTGTATGGGAAAAACAATGCCTCCATTAATTGTCTGAGTACTTGGAAAAGGATAATTAAAAAAACTGGAGCTAGAAAGTGGACAGTAAACATAATTTGCTCTGATTTCAAAAGGCTTTAGTTGGATTCCCTCCACAAGAGGCTATAACAGTAAAAAAAAAACCAAAACCAAAACTATAAATGGAAAAGTCCAAACTACAATCCAGGCTCAATAATTAGAGAAAGCACCAAGTCAGCAAGAATATACCCCAACCCCTCAGGGCAGACAAAGACAACAGAAGTGCATTTGAACCCCCTGACTGCAGTTTGTGCTGTTTCTGTGTTCTCAGACTCAGCGTGTGCTTTTGCTTTTCAATCTGGGGCAAGTAAAGGCACTTGACTTTCAAAAGTGATGGACTTCTTCCCTGATAAATTCAAGCCCCTTTAGGCCTTGCCACCTTGGAGTTGATGCTGTTTCACCTACAGGTCTTTATGCATTTTTTTCTTTCGTTCTTTATGCGTACAACAGTCTTTAAATACCTGCATAGTATTATTAAGATCATTTGGGCTACTAAGGTGTTTTAAGTTATGAAATTAAATCTTTCTAAGGTTTCAGTCAGAGATTTTTGGAGGGTGGCTGAAACAGGAAGTGCTGAAAGTGAATAGTGGCAAAAAATTAGGAGTTACCAGTTCACAGAAACTAATAAACCCAGACCCATCATGTCAGAAAAATAAATATAAACTACAGAGAATGAATTCATAATGAGACATACTGAAAATTTCTACTGAAATTTTTCAACATCTAATACAGGTTGGTACAAGTTTTCGTGCACAAATTTAGAAAATGAAAACTGATTATACTTTTAAGTTTTTACTTTCAAGTTTTAGACTCTATAAAAGTACTCTAAATAAAATTTTTAAAAGGTAAAAAGAAAAAAGAAAAATGTGTTATTCTCAAATTCTTCCTTCTTCCCCATTTTTCTTCTATTTGGAGAAAAGGGAGAACAAATGTAGATAYAATGCAGTCAAAAATGCAGATACAACTTATTTTTCCATGTCCATGTGCCATCATTTCTGTTTTAGAAACATACCTGAAAAGATAGCTTTTTTTAAAAAATTGACACTTCTAGTGCAACACTAACAGACATTTTAGGTTACTAAGGCTAAAAATGAAATGCCTTACTTTCAAAATAATGAGGCACTTCTACATTTCAATGTACTCAGATGTTCTGAAACACTTCTCAGTATAATAAAACACCAACCTAGGAAGAAAGTGTGGGAAACATAAGTTTCCCATATTTTTGAAACTTCCCTAATAACTGGAATTTCCCAATGGAATAGTTGCCTCTAGTAATTAACATTGTAGAAGAAAACCAGCTTAGCAGATTTAAATTCTGGGGAAACCATGCCAAGATCCAGGATTAGTTTGGCAAAGAGACAGGAGGGCCTCTGTGATTCAGATCAGGGAAAAGAAGAGGCCAGTGAGTGCTSTATGTAATCAGGATGACTGAATATTTAAAGAAAAGAATGGACACTGATGTTATCAAAAGGTGAATTTACAGTGAGCCATGAGCTGGACTACTTCATATCTTGCCACCAAGTCTCACACTTCACATGACTGACTGAAAAATTATAGATGACAGTGCTGGGAGTGACTGGTAGCGGGGAGGATGTGACTGCTGAATTTTGGATTAGTTCAGTTAGCAATAATTCACCAAGGAAGAAATGTTCAAAAGGAGCTGGTCAGAACTGAAAAGAAGAAAACAAGGGCAAGGAAAGCATAGCAGGTACAACCACAAGCCAGACCAACCATGAGCCTTCGTCCAAACTCTTTACCTAGTCCTGGATGATTATCTGGATAACATTACACCTATTTAAGTTGGAGTGGGCCTAAGATGATTACCACAGGACACTCAATAGGTGAAGAACAAGACAGTTATATAAAATTAAACAAGAAATATTTCTTCATACAGTTCGAAGTGTATCTGCAGATTTGCCCAGACTTTGGGGGAATGTAGGGTCAAAAGTGGAAGCTGGGCTAGAGAATGAAAGGAGCATTTTATTACTGCTAACAGAACGTGTCATTCAGCATGATTAAAAAAAAAATAGAAAGAAGAGATAATGAAATCTCAAGGTTCAGTAGGAAAGTTCCCTATGGGACTTTGGGAATAATTCTTCTGCCAAGCTCTGTTATTATGTTGTTGGTTGGATACATCGTAAGTCTCCCTCCCACACTTCCAAAATATTAGCACTCAGTCCCAGGAAAGAAAAGTTATTAGTACTATTAAAAGTATTTACTGCACTGTGAAGGCACATGTAGAAATAGAAAAGACAGAAAGTTCCCGATCCCTCTTTCTCTGAAATCAGGAAGAACTGATTTTTGACTTGGAATCAGAACTGAGCAGGTTTATTGGATATCATTTAAAGATGAGGGCAGGAATTAGAAAAGTTTAGTAATCCCCTTTTGAGGTCTTATACAATCAGGAATGCAAAAGTGAGTATGAGTGGATGAATCATGTTGGCTTCAAAAGGTTCAATGAAGATCCATATTGGATGTGATGGAAAGAGCTGCAGCCCACGTSTATGAGCTGCCAAAGCACTCCTTGCACTTCACTTCCATCACAAGAAGGGCTTCTTATGCAGGATACTGCAGAAAACTCATCCTCAGGAAGTTTTATGAGGAATTAGATTTTTGTAATGGCAGAAAGCACTCCCTGAGAACAGGAAATGGACAATTGTGGCAGTCTGCTTGTTGAGTTCTGTAAGGAATGATTGTTTTGAACAGTTCAGGCAGGGACTCCTTTTCTGTAAGCCTTCATTGATCTGCATAAATTTCATTTTACACTCACGCACACAAAGGTTTGTATGATGTGTGTAAATCCCAAGCTTAAGGATTTGCATCATATGCTTTGCATTCTTTAAAGCTCCTATAGAACCTCAGAAATACATGTAGAATATCTACTGTACAACCCCCAAGGGTCAGCACAAATAATTCTAAAGGTTTGACAGCATTGTTCTTCTGGTTTTGGCAATATTGTTTTAGGAGTATGATATTCTGGGACTGAAAAAACTCAAATTAAAATCTAGTAAGAACTCAAATAAACATACAACGTAAGAGCTGTCAAGAAAACCAGAGGCTAAACCTGTTTCAGGACTTGCCCTGTGGGAGTTTAATAGATACAAAAAAAATGAGAGCTTCAAATTTTGAGAGAACCTGAAATTTATGGCATGTAAAAACATGATATCCCTGTGTTCCTGTGTTACAAACAATATGTTACATTCCATGAAGGTGCATACAGCTCACAAGAACAATAGCCATTGATACTGTATCACTAATACATTAATTCTGTATCTGCTCAGTTGCATGTGGCCTTGAGGAAAACAATTATTATCCCATGGAGTTCACAACCTGCTCTTAGGTGGGAGACCAAATTTTCCTAAGGAATCATGAGGGCAGTCCATGAATGGAGGTCCTAAATGTATGAGTTTATTCTGTAGTTTAAAGGCAACATACTGCATTGAGAAACAGGAAAAGAGGCTGCTGTTAGTGAAAGTGACTCTATTTGAAGGCGTTTTCATATTTCATTCCCTTAATAAGAAGGTTTAGCGTAACTGAGCTGTAAAACATTAATATTAATATCTATTTCTATTATTGATATTACATTATTTAAATTTGGTTGCTGTGTCCGCTCTTATATTTGCTTCATCCTGTCATTCAATCAACCTGATAATTATTCATGCAAAATTACTACACAAGGAGATTCCTGTTAGGTTGCAATAGGAATTTCGCTATAGAGAAGGATGCAGCATTTGACAAAAAGTTTGCATGAGTATGTTTTTGTTACTCTGTTCTGCTTTATTCTTTCCACAGCAAATAAGTAAGATTAAGGGTGCATATCTTGAATGATGGATGATAATTCTGAGCACCACAACTAACTCTTTTGACTGCCTGGCTTAGAAGTACTTATTATCCTCATCAGCCTCCCTCATACCAACATTTCCATGCTTTTATGTCTAGAGCATGCAAAGACCAGCTTAACAAAAAAACCCAACAAACAAACAAACAAAGGAAAAATTAGCTAAAACTTAATTCTGACACTTTTTCTGGAAATTATTAGGAAGCGTGGAGGAAAGACACATATGCACACTACTCATCTTGTCACTAAAAGGGATTGTTCATCTATTCTTTACCCTGCTGTAACAGCCCCTTTGTGTTTTGGACATACTGGCATTACCCCATCTATTCTTATTCCATTTGAATTAATTCCTTCATAGTATGTTCACATTAGGAACTTGGATACATGATCATACTATTTTATTTATCCTTATTGTGGCATAGTTACATCACAGGTGGATACAAAGGTAAATCAGATATTTGTAAAACAACCCCTGAGCTCAGTGTGGTTTGATGTAGAACTTCAAAAGATAATGAAAGTTTGCCAATTTACTCACAGAGACATAATTTAATCATTCTTCATGTTTATTTGGAAAAATTTTGTTTCTTCTCTGAATATGGGAAGAAAGCTGTCAATTAGATATATGGATTTGGATCCATTTTAGGAACACACCTCTGTTAGAAAAAAAACCGATGGACATTAGAATTCTTCTGGCATAGGCCACTCTTCTATTCTGGTCGCTACTGAACTGCATCATTCAAATCTCTGACCAAACAAGGATTTAGATTTTTCTGTTATACTGAAAAGGGATCCCTAACATCCTTTAGTTCCTTCTCCAGTAATTCCTACATTTTTTAGAAGTTTCAAGAAACAATAAAAATATGTTGTTTTGGAAAATACAGGAAGAAAAAAAGCGTAATCTCATTGGAATTTTTTTGATGGGAGTTGATAAGGCTGTGAAATTTCAGAACGCTGCTTTAAAGTTTACTTTGTGTGTTACTATAGATACTAACCTTCTTATGCTTCCAAACATCTGTGCATGACCCAAAAATCTTCCAAAATCTATGTGGAACATGTGTCCAGCTTTTGTCAGCATTATGTTGTCACTGTGTCGATCACAGATTCCCAGGATGAAGGTAACAACACACCAGCCAGCACAGGAATAAAAGAAATTCCTTTTTGCCTAGTGAGTAAAACAACAGTACTTACACGAAATATCCAGGAGCATTTGTTTGTGGTCCTAACAAAAAATTAAAACAAAAGGTAGCTCTACAAATGCTGTGCTTGTTGCTCAACTTTTAATGGGTTAAAATTTCAAGAGGTAATAGTGAAAAGAAATTCATGAGGTAGGTCTGAGTAGGAATGGTATAGGAATGGTACTCAAGCATTTAAAAATTACACTGCAAGAACAATTTTATGCTTGAGGTTTTGACCTTGCATTTCACAGCTACCTGGAAGTCTACAAAAAACTTTCAGGTGAAAGGTGTCTAAGAAAAGCAAGCTTCTTGGCAGGAAGCCAGCATTTTCTGTTTGATGTTCTGCATATATTGCAAAAACAAGTGTTAGGAAATTAGTTGGAAATCCACAAATTTACCCATTTGCTTTGTAAAGGATGTAGGTTATTTTCTATCCACTGCACTACTCTGTACCTACATGGATTTGTTTTTCTCCAGAAATCAGTCCATGTCCCATGAATCTATATCATAATGTAATACAGAAAGGCAAACCATCCTAATCTGCATCTTAATGTTTTTGGACAAAACCTATGTTAGCCAAGGCAAATGATATTTAGGCTTCCAGGAATTCCCTGTAGATGCAGGGTACCACCTGCAATGGCATGGCAGCACTGTGCAAGATTTAGGCCACAGAACAAGAGTTAGATGAATTTTACGTCTAACTGTGCTACTTACTCACTTTGATGACCTTGGATAAAACACTTAAGCTTTCTGTGATTTTGTTCACCCAACTGTAAAATGAGGATATTAAAACTTTTTCTGCAGCAGTTTTCTGAGCACCTTAGATTCAGTAMTGTATGAGTAAAAAATTATAACAGGAGTAAAAAAAGAGAAAGGTTCATTCACTAGCAAGCACAAAGGGAATGCATAGCAGTAACTTTATGCATACCCTATGTAATCAGATCTGACTGCATTTTATATATTTTAAAAATGGAAAGAAATGGGGTAGGAATTGGTTTTAGAATATTCCACATTAATGGTACTTCTTACAAACAGGAGCAGCAGCAAGAAATTGAATTTTCAATCAATAATTAGCAGTACCTCACTTTTGAATTGAAATGTCTGCACTTTCACCATAAAACTGTAAAACCACAAACTTGTAAAAAAAATTTCTACACAGATTGCTCCTGTTTAATTGGATCAAATGATATATGAGGAATTCAAGTGTTCTTAATCAAAATGTGGGTGAACAAATGTCTATGGAATAATTACAAAATTACTTAAGTTTATCAAACATATATATACTCTACATCCACTAACAAACTGCTATAAAATAATTTCATTTTCACAGTGGTAAACACTCAAAGCACTCCTTTAAATTTGAAATTTTGTCCACTAATTTATCGCTAGCATAGAAAAGGGTTCTCAAAATTGTTTGAGCAACACCAAAATGAAAACTCTTTCATGTGCCTCCGAATATGTTCACCCAACAAGGAATTGACTGAAAGATTTCCCTAGAAAACTTTTGCTTCTGTAAATAAGATTTCTTATTGTTTGGCTCATGTATAACATCTAGTTTAATAAAATCAGATGCAGTATGTGGGATCCCATGAGAACATGTGAGATAAAAAGCATGATCTGGTTTTTGAATATGGTGGTTTTGATCAAACAGCTTTCTAAAACTTTGGGTATTGGCATAGTCATTCCTAAATACAGGAAATCTGCCAAGATCTTGTATGGTTTATATAAAATAAAGAATTTAGAGAGCTGGCCAAAAAAATAAATGTTTCTGAATTCAAAACTTAATTACTCTTTCAGTTTCTCTTCACTTTACTAGTAACTTTCAAAACACCTCTATGGCACATTTTTATAGAAAATTTAATACCATGCACCTGACAAAAAGCAGTATTTCCTTAGAAAGAGAGTGGCATTGAAGTGGGTTCCCTGGTTTCTATGCACATGATTTGTTTGTCTCATATCTGAGCCACTCATTTTAGCTGCTTACTGCAATTTGCTTCTTTTTTTTTCTCCATGGTATAGCATGAAAAGTGTAGTAAGCTTCATTATGATGTTACCTCTTGGTAACTTGATTCCAGAGGATGGTGATGGCGAAACCATTTTTCAATTGTGTTTTTTTTCAGTGGTCCTATCAGTCCAGACTCCCTGTGGATCTTTGCCAGTGTGGTAGCATCTGGCACCATCTGTACCAGTCCTAATCAGATGAAAAAGAATTTGCATGAAAAATCCTCAGCTTTAAAAAGACAGGAAGACAATCAATGCATATTGCCTGTTGTTTGATCATTCCATGCAGAAAAATATATATAGTTAAAAGCTTATAAATAATGAATACAACAGAAAATATACATCAGTATTGTTCTACTCTTGCTCTTTGGAAATTAAAAATAAAGGCCACCGAGCAGAAAGGAGCAGTTCTATGAATGAGAAATAAAATCATCAATAACAATGCTGTGGGTATAACTGCCACACAGTATCAACAAGGTCAACAATTTAATGAGATTCAAAGTGGGTATAATATGTACAAACTTAAAAAATCATAAAAATAAGGACCAGATATTTACTAATCATGATAAAGTTATTTCATATGTGTTTATTGTCTAGAAAGCTACACAAATTTTTCTGCAGTACATGATGCTGATCACAACTGGGAGAAATGGTACTGCATAGTGCAGAAATTAGTCTGATCCAGTACGCCACAAAACGGGACTCTGAAATGCAGAGAGAAGCCAAGCATTTTGCAATGCTTCACTTGAATCCTCCGTCTCTTCTGCATTCACTTAACTCCTTTTTTTGGTACTGAGACCTGGCCTTCCAGCCTTCTCTCTCTGTCCCCACGTGTGGTCCCCTGGCATGCCATCCTGCTACTCTGCATTACAGGGAGGACTTTCCCTAACCATTTTACTTTGTCACAAGATCATCTACTACACAAAGCCTGGAAAGTGAAATTCTACCAGAGCTTTAAGTTTTCACTGAATTTCTGTGAAAAGAGATTTCTGTGCTTGCATGACCATGAAATTACCATCTCCTGCCTAGCTTGTGTGGAAAAAATGGCCATAGAGTAAGCCACTAGCCTAGGACTTGGAATAGCTGTATACACAAGTCTCCCGAAGCACGTGTCCTGTATGACCATAGGCATGTCCCTTGGTCCTTCTCTCCTTAATTATTAACTGTAAATTGATTATATTAACATTGATGTTACTCATAGGGGAAGACCGCTGGAAAAACTGTGAGACACTGAGGGGTTATTGCTGCTGTGATGCTGAAAGGGAGACACTGTCAGGGAGAGAATATTATTTGCAGATGATCCCTGTATCTCTCTTGGCAAACATCAAATTAAGCATTAGTAAAAATAGAGTCTACATATAATATCACGTCCAGAAAGAGTATTCTTGTATCATCTGCGTTTGAAGCAGAAGCTTTCAAGCTTTGACTCCCATCCCTACAAAGAAGGATAGAGTTTTTTTCCAGGTCAGCACAACCACCTGCCATGTGCCACAACTCATCTATACTTCCTCTTAGTTCCTTCAGATCATTCCTCCTCTGTCATGTTCACTTTGTGGCTCAGAAAGTAATGATTTTCTTTTAATTTTTCTATTTTAATAAGCTTTTGTACAGCAGGTGATCTGGATACATCTGCCTTTTATTTGAGCTAGGATTATTTCCAGTAGAAGATTTATTTGGTCAGGGAAATGTAGCCAGCTTACTGCTGTCAGCAGATTTCTACAGCAAGCAATTGGTATCCCTGCTACAGCTCTGCTATAACCATAAAAGAGAGAAATAGAGCTTTCAGATGAGTCAGGACTGCCCTAAGCAACATAAATCACAAGAATAATATTTCAAAATTAACAGCACAAAGCTGTCATCACTTGTCTGCAGGTACTTTCTGTAACCACATGCATCTAGGCTCATTTAAGCATCTGTGTAGGACTACACCAGATTAAAACTTCAGTCCCTATGGCAAATTTTCTCCAGTGCCCTCTTTTTGATATGAGAATTTAAGAATGTTTTGCAAGCTGACAGTATTGAGGCTTTTGGAAAATTCTAGACTAAGTTGCTATGAAATACAATGAGCTCTAGAGAGACAGAATAAACAAATTTTATATAACACTGTTAACATGAAATATGAGTAACATAATACAAGTTCCTTTTATAATTTAAGACTGACCTTGCCTTTTCCCTGTGGATAAACACCTATAAATGATCATTTGCATATCCAGTCCCTCTTGGAGCCAAATGTTGTCCATCACTCGAATAATTTGCAGAACCAACATATCTTGACGTAGATCATCACCTATCTGTGAAAATTGCACATGAAATTAAGTTTTCTCCTTCAATACCAGACAGAAATAAAGTCCTATTTAATTCGGACCTTTGTTCCTACTTAAACAACTACATTCATTTCTTGTCTTTCTTCGAAGTTCCTACTTACCTTTCCATATCAGACGAGGATGGCACAGCAGATGGCACACACAGACAGGAGCAGTTTTGGCAGCCACTGAGATGGTAACAAATGATCCCTGCTTAACTTTGGCCTTTCTGCTTATTATTCCTACGCAGTTATTAGAGTTTGAAAATTTAATCCCGAGGTAGGATCCTAATTTAGCTACATTTTAAAGTCTACCTAATGCTAAATCCCTTTACAAAAATGACAGCATTTGTCTAATGTTAAGCCTCACAACTTAGTATTTGCAGGAGAATTTTATCATGAATTTATATTTTATCTATAATATGATTTTTATTCAGTTTCAGGCAGTGATGCAGTGATGACCTCTCTCCCCATGCGGTTAGTCAAACAATAATCTCAGTGAAATGCGGCTTTAATTGTAGCCACAAGAATTAATGAAGAGATTATTTTCAACCATGGCTGGGTAAATGGCCTGTGAAAACAACAGCCTTGATTTTTTGTTTCCCCCATCCTACTCCAAGTAAAATATATAACTTTTACTGATATTTTAAGTGCTTTCTTCTTTCATTAAATTCTTTTTATACAAGCATTCCAATCTACAGACGTTTACTGCTATGAAATGAGTACTTGAGGAGACATAAACTCATCTCAAAAAGACAATATCTGATTATATTTTTTTTTTGTTGAAAGGTAATCTTGACTCCAATTAATTCTTCTTTGTACCTAAACATACAAAAAATCTTATTCTTTCTACTTACCTTCCCTCGCAAATACAGTCAGAAGACAATTTAGTAAGATACCCTTATCATTTATTGTGCTCACAGTTTATGTATGAGATATCTGTCATGAATAAGCAATAGAACTATAGTACAAGTAAAAGATATTTTAATGCAATGTTTTGCTGACAGGAGAAGGTGACAGCAGCCTTAATACTTCTACAGCAACTGGACAATGAGTTGGTTGCTGAACATGACAAAGTAGGGAAAATATTGTCTCTGTAGAACCAATGCAATTATTTTAAAGCCTCATAAGCAAATATTTGCTCAAGTAGACAGGAACATGCTTTTTAACATTGATTTCCAAATGAAACAGCATATGAACCAGGTTTCTAAACGTTCAGAAAAACTTAAAATTGCTAATTTCTCCCCCTAGCCTGCATGGAAAGCATACTTCTTTTTCTGAGGATCATGACTGCTCTAAAGGGGCAATTTAAATTAAGATAGAAATTATTTTTTTTAATTTGTTTTTATAATTCTTTTAGATTTCTGGTTTGGAAAATGATTCTGCAAAAGATCTAAGAATAATGCCATTGGCACCACTGACCATTTTGTATCCATCAGTTATTTTATGAACTTGTGTTCTTCTCTAAAACTAGTATCTGCTGTTAGAGTAGACTTTTGCTCTTTTGAAAGGGAACTAATTTCAAAATGCATGTATTTTCCATTGTTGATGGACTATTCTGAACTCCGAAGCTTTTCATCAGAGACAACAGCAAAACAAAGCAGAGTTTAAGTCAGTTCCTCCAAATAACTCCAACAAGAGAGATCTCCTTTGCTGTCTCCTCCACCTTTCTCAGCCACTCCCTCAGGCTGGCTGATAGGGGCAGAATTAGGTCTGTGTGGCAAATGGAGCCTCTAACACTCTATTTTGATATTTTAGAGACATATGAAAAAGGCTGAAGGGCTCAGTCATTCTGAACTATCTCTTCGCTGAGACCTGCCCTCTGACTTCAATGTCGTTAATAAACCAGGTTTAAAATATGAACTTTATATTCTAGTCTGGTTGTCTGGGCTAAGGAAAGAAACTGCAATAAGTTGTTTGATTCTCTATTGATCAAAAAGCTGATAGTTCAGTGTATTGCCTTAACATATTTCATTAAAAGTTCCAGTGTCAAAAATAAAAGGGATAAACAAGCAGAAGAACCAAATCAACTATTCTCAGACTCAAGCTTTAAAATATAAATTAGGTGAATTTTAAATCATCATTTTCCATACCAAAAGACCCGAGGATAAGAGGAAGAACATACCTTAAAAATAACATTGATGGTTCCACTTGGAGCATTCGCATTGATGAAGGAGATTTTTAATGGAAAAGCATTGGATGTAAAATAAGAACATGACTGCAGGGGAAAGAAAGATGAGACAGAAGAACAGGGTCACATATACAAAACACCAGACCAATACAATACCTCTGTAAAAGATACGAGCTTTAAACAGTGCTCAATAGCAGTGGTAGCAAAAGAAAATAATTCTTGATCTTATTGACTGTTTCACTGGGTCTGAAAAATAAGAAATTCTTTTCCCCAGACAATCTGCTTCACTTAAATATGAGACCATATGAATGGATAATATTTTATGTACTAATTGCTTTTCATTTTACCCAGGCCTATCAATAATAAGCTTTGGCTGGTACTGAGTGGATGAAGTATATAAGACTGATGTAATGGGAGTCTTAAAGCATTGAAAAGCATTTGGTCCTATCATTTTCTGAAAAAAACCCAGCCCTGCCCAATCAGACAATCTTTATGGAAGCAAAGAATCTGACAATTTCTTTGAAGACCTCACTCTGGCTGAGGAGACAAGAAATTTTGAAAATCATGATCTATTTTATGTGGAATTTATCTAAATTAAACATAAACACTGACTTTCATGCTCTACAGCTCCTTCCACCTGAATATCTCAAAGGGCTTCAAAAACCACTAATGAGCCAAGGACTGCAAATCCTGTGAGAGTTTAGGGTGGTATTATTACCCTCATTAAACATATCCAAGAAGGGATGGCGGGGAAACCCCTCAAAACCAAAGACAATTGTAAATCAATGGCCTGGTTTCTGGAAATAATGAACACCCCACAAGAGCTGCTGCTGTCCTTACAGGGTGGAGTGTAAGGGAGGCTAATTTGAACACCACCACCACCACCAGACACAGCTGTCTTCTGCTTTTCATCTAAACATCTCAAAGCATGGTCCAAGCATGCAAATATTTTCTCAGCCAAATTAGACCTCTGCCATGGGCCAGAGCCATTATCAACGATGAGATCCTGACCCGTCATGGAATTCTGCCAATTGAAACGTCTCAGTGAGTGCTTGAAAGGTTCCTGTGAGATAATGTGACTCTGAGAGAGCTGGGAGCAGGGCTTGCTACTGGTAAAATTAATAGATGACACAGAAATTAATTACATTTAGGTAATTATAAGCACTTAAAAGTTCTAATTTGCGTGATTATACTGACGTACCATTCAATCAAGAAACTATATGTATTTATAGAAAGAAAATGTCCTATAATGATATAAGAAAAATGAGAAAAAAAAATCCCTCTTCAGATATTACATTTAAACATTTTTGTATCAGTCCAGCCAAGATGGTGCAGTCTAAATAGCATGACTTCATGGTGAGATACCTTTCCATTAGTCATTATTTCCAAGAGCCTGAAAGCAGGGAGAAACAGCAGGCTTCAAATCCTTCTGACTTGTATCACACACAATTCGCCCAAGCCTGTGGGGTGCTAGAAGACTTCTGTTCTCAGTCAGATCAAGGATGAATAGCAATTACTTGGAGAAACACAGCTCAGAGGCAATCGAAGGGATCAGCATCTCTTAGAATCAGGTCTACTATGGATAACGAGCCAGAGAGTAAAAATAGAGCACAAATTGCTGTAATTAGGCAGCTATAACTGGTAATATATATGGCTGTTCAGGTTTGTTTTTTTCTTCATGCTGGTTACATTTTCCTTCTCCAGAGATGGAGCAGCTTACTCCTGGCATTACATTGTTTATGAAAACATTTTTGAACAATGAATAACTGAATCTCTGTACTGTGGTCAAAGTCAAGTAACACTGAGGAGCATTTTTGTT